TCTTCTCAGGTGCTTTCTCTCAAGGGTATTTTTCTCATAAAATCCTTGCATGTTTAATCCTGTCTTAGTGTCTTGGAGAACTTGCACTAATACACTGGATATGGTTTAGAAATCAGGTATGAAATAAAAATAAAAAAGAAGCTAAATTTTCTCTGCCTACACTACCAACTTACATTAGAGTTGGTGTCTGTTGTTGGAAGAGAGAAACACACTTTGGCTAATAAATATCCCCAGTAATCAAATGATTGACAATCATTTTTGGATTACTATATCTATAAATTATGGGCTTCCCTGGTGGCTCAGATGGTAAAGCGTCTGCCTACAATGCAGTAGACCCAGGTTCGATCCCTGGGTTGGGAAGATCCCCTGGAGAAGGAAATGGCAACCCACTCCAGTATTCTTGCCTGGAGAATCCCGTGGACAGAAGAACCTGATAGGCTACAGTCTGTGGGGTGGCAAAGAGTTGGACACGACTGAGAGACTTCACTTTTCACTTTCACTTTCATATCTATAAATTAGGACTTCCCTGGTGTGGCTCAGTGGTAAAGAATCTTCCTGCCAATACAGGAGATGCAGGTTCAGTCCCTGTGTTGGGAAAATACCCCAGAGAAGGAAATGGCAACTGACACCAGTATTCTTGCCTGGGAAACCCCATGAACAGAAGAGCCTGGGGGCTACAGTCCATGGGGTCACAAAAGAGTCAGACATGACTTAGCGACTAAACAATAAAATCTATAATTTTATTGTTTATTCACATTAACATTTGTAGGTATAAGAGTATTTATGTGGGAATTCCTTGAGACTTGAAAATTATTTCTAAAAACAAGTACTCTAGCCTATTTCTGACAGGCTTCAACTCAATTTCATTTTATTCCTAGATCCTCTGGATGTTGTATATTGTGTTGAAACTGAAATACTTTGCTCCCACTTTGCAGCTCAAAGTAGCTGAGTCCAATTCTTGCCAACACAGAAGCCATCCTAGATGCCATTTCCTATTTCCTGTCCCTTCGTGTGATTTATAAAGTCTGTGCTACAGTCTAGCTGTACTGTAGAGTTAAAAGACTAGAGTTGAGTCCTAGAGGGATTACAAATTTTTGCAAGGTTATTAAGACAAAATTTATGTTCAAGGGCATTATAGGACTAGATTTTACAGATTTAGGGGAGAAAAAAAATCTGCTGTTATGTGTGATATTCTCATTTCAAAAAAAGGGCAAGTTTGTTTATGGATTCAAGATAATTGGCAAATAAGCATTTGCCCTNGTTTGATCCCTGAGTCAGGAAGATCCCCTGGAGAAGGGAATGGCTACCCACTCTAGTATTCTTGCCTGGAGAATCCCGTGGACAGAGGAGCCTGATGGGCTGCAGTCTTTGGGGTCACAAATAGACAGGACTGAGCAACTAACGCTTTCACTTTCACTTTCAGTATAATCCAGATTCAGTTCAGTTCAGTTCAGCCTCTCAGTCGTGTCCGACTCATTGCAACCCCATGAATCGCTGCATGCCAGGCCTCCCTGTCCATCGCAAACGCCCGGAGTTTGCTCAAACTCATGCCCATTGAGTTGGTGATGCCATCCAGCCATCTCATCCTCTGTCGTCCCCTACTCCTCCTGCCCGCAATTCCTCCCAGCATCAGGGTCTTTTCCAATGAGTCAACTCTTCGTATGAGGTGGCCAAAGTATTGGAGTTTCAGGTTCAGCATCAGTCCTTCAATGAACACCCAGGACAATATAAAAGTAGATCAATTTAAAAGATAGCAGTGGTAATTTTTTAAAAAATGCTTATTAACAAAGATATCCATTGAAAAGTATATCAGTATAAAATGAAGAAAAATTTAGGCCCAAGTACCTTGCTGTGAAGCTACTAAGTCACTCAGTTCAGTTCAGTCACTAAGTCATGTCTGACTCTTTGTAACTCCATGGACTGCAGCCCTCCTGGCTTCCCTCTCCATTGCCAATTCCCAGAACCCACTAAAACTCATGTCTCTCGAGTCAGTGATGCCATGAAACCACCTCATCCTCTGTTGTCCCCTTCTCCTGCCTTCACTCTTTCCCAGCATCAGGGTCTGTTCCATTGAGTCAGTTCTTCACATCAGGTGGTTCTGGAGTTTCAACTTCAGCATTGGTCCCTCCAATGAATATTCAAGACTTATTTCCTTTAGGATGGACTGGTTTGATCTCCTTGAAGTCCAAGGGACTCTCAAGAATCTTCTCTAACACCATAGTTCAAAAGCATCAATTCTTCAGTGCTCAACTTTCTTTATAGTACAACTCTCACATCCATACATGACGAGAACAGTATACAGATGCCTCAAAAATCGGGATGGAGAATACTTGTAAATCCATGGCTGATTCATGTCAATGTATGACAAAAGCACTACAATATTGTAAAGTAATTAGCCTCCAACTAATAAAAATAAATGAAAAAAAAAAGTTAAGAGTAGAACTGCCATGTGATCCAGCTATTCCACTTCCAGGTAGTTATTTAAAAACATTAAATTAAAAAAAACTAAATGTACCCTTATGTTCATCTCAGTATTATTTATAATAGCCAGGATATGGATGTCCTGGCTATTGTCCTTGCTAAATGTCCCTCTACAGATGAATGAATAAAGACAAAGTGGAGAAAGACAAATGCCATCTAATTTCACGCATATATGGAAAATAAGTAAATAAGACATGAACAAACCAAACCAAACACATAATCGCAGAGAAAAGAGTAGTGGTTACCCGAGGGGAAGGAAGGGAATGAGAAGACCAGATAGGTAACTGTATGGTAACAGATGAAAACTAAATTTTAGTGGTGAATGTGGTATATGCTGACCAAAGTTAAAATATACAGTGTTTTACCCATGAAATATATATAATGTTATAGACCAATATTCCCTCAATAAAAAGTTTTTAATTATTTAAAAATATTTATAGACTTTTAGCATATAGGCACGACTGCAGATAAACATCACTATTTGTTGATTTAAATATTCCTTTTAAGTGGCCTTTAAAAAAATGCATGTGTCATTTTAATGTCAATACTTTAAATAATTATCAAATCTTAAAATTTTGGTCACAACTCTGTTGAGCTTTTTGTTTACAATTGGGCCCTTATTTTAAAACTGAACAAAAACATGTTAAGATATAAAAAGCCTTAGCACTTATGATGTTAGGGTCAATTTTCAGCCCTTATGTTTAAAGGTTGTATCTGAGTCTAGAACTGAGTCCCAAAGGCAATGAATTACCAGATTGCTTTTCAAACTGCTGTATTTTAAGACCTACTTAGATTAAATTTAATTGTACTAATATTTATATTTCATTGTTTATTCTATGGTAAGTGATGCCATCCAGCCATCTCATCCTCTGTCGTCCCCTTCTCCTCCTGCCCCCAATCCCTCCCAGCATAAAGATCTTTTCCAATGAGTCAACTCTTCGCATGAGGTGGCCAAAGTATTGGAGTTTTAGCTTCAGCATCAGTCCTTCCAATGAACCCCAGGACTGATCTCCTTTAGGATGGACTGGTTGGGTCTCCTTGAAGTCCAAGGGGCTGGATGGCATCATTGACTCGATGGACATGAGTTTGAGTAAACTCTGGGAGTTGGTGATGGACAGGGAGGCCTGGCGTGCTGTGATTCATGGGGTCGCAAAGAGTCGGACATGATTGAGCAAATGAACTGAACTGAAATGGTATAAAACTTTTCACTTTAATGGAATTTTTTCCATATATGTTTCATAAGCAATGATAATTCATGTGTAAAAAGTAATATCCACAAGTAGATAATAGTTAAATTTTACATGCAACAGCGATGCTGTAGGTGAAGAGAGAAATCTTTGATGGCCGTTGTCCTTGAAGGCCATCGACTCCACCAGGACATTACTGCCAGATACCACTTTTAGGAACTGTAAAGTATCAAAATTGCCAAACGATTCATAATATTTTTTTTCTAACCAAATATGCATGATGAGAAATACTTTTAGAGAAGCAATATTTTAAGTCCACAAGTGCTTTCTGAATTATACTCTAAAGGATATATACCTCACAGTGCACTCTGATTTTTTTCATAGCTCATTATCATTATTTTATTATTACATTTCTGACTTATTAAAACATGTAGATGTGTCAAAAAAGTATTACATAATGAAACTGATCATTGTATATTAATACATACCCAGTTAAGCCAGTTAGTGATTTCCTGAGTGAAATACCTTTATTACTTGATTCCCAAACAAGTGCTATTTTATTTCAGGAAAAATCATCCTATTTCATAAATATTAACAGTATGAGGTAATCACATTATAGGATTATTATGCAAGCCTTCATGTAGATTAAACTATTTTTAAATTACTGATATTTTTGTTCATAAAACAGTTTTCTGTCAGCTATAAATATATAAAGGCCAGCTTATAAAAATGTGTTCATTACACATGATAGCTGGTCTGAATGTCACTTGAGGTTTGGGGTCTTTCATTTTTCTATATCTGATAGCAAATATAGTCTGAAAACATAAATCTTAAAGTAATGTTGGACCAGATGTGGAAGAAAGGAGGAAAGGCTATTATTAAGTGAGAAAATTAGTAATACTATGATCATCATGGGCAGATTTGGCATTTTTAAAGATTTTTTTTTTTAATATGGACCATTTTTCAAGTGTTTATTGAATTTGCTATAATATTACTTCTGTTTTATGCTTTGGGTTTTTGGCCCCAAGACACGTGGAATCTTAGCTACCTGACCAGGGATTGAACCTGCAATCCCTGCACTGGAAGGTGAAGTCTTAACCACTGGACTGTCAGGGAAGTCCCTCACATTTTTAGGTAAGTCGTTTTAGAGTAGATTGCCAGTGTGCAAAATGGTTTTCATTAGTATGGATAAATCTAAGGCATTGTAAAGTTGATGTAAAACCAGACACTTAAAAAGTAGTTCTAATAACCCCTTTAAATTTCGGTCTAAGAAATAGCACTATTAAATTAGTGTGATTCTGAATCCAGATATATTTTGAGAAAAATTCTTACCTTGATGTCCAGAAAACTTTGTGACTTCATTGTCAACAATTCTATTCACTGGAAGATCACAGGATATATCCATTGTATATTTTAAGGCATTCAGTATTTTTCTGTAGGGTAAATAGGTAAAAATTATATTGTATGGTAATTACATTTAGGTTCTAAAGAAAAGAATCTGCAGGGAAACCTATGCAATATATAATTTGTCCAGATTGCTTTTCATTTGAGAAAAGAGGTTTTAAAATATTCCCAAAGCAGTTTACTCATCAATTGAAAGTCCTTCAAAAATAGAACTGTTGGGAAACTGTGGTATGTTGGATAGACAGAAAAGGTTTTTGGAGGGAATAATTTTAAAAATACTTAAATAGCTGTTTATTTGGTGCAGTTACGATTAAACTTGTTGATTTTAACATTGCTGTTATATCTGAAATAAACATCTGAATAAACTTACATCTGAAATAAAAGTTAAATTCCAGCTAATAGAATTGTTTTACCTAAATGATATTTTTTATATTTCAAACTAACCAACTCAACATACTATTAATAGTTGTATATAACCTGCTTATATATGCCTTCCCTGTCTTTGTGATAGGTATAGCACCTTGAAGCCAGTGAACGTGAAGTCTACACTCTTTTCTAAACGCAGAAGCCTTCCTTAGGGTGTTTAATTCAGTAGGAACATTCTAAATGAGATATCAAGACTGGTCCTGACTTTCAGAAGCATAGAGACATTTTTGGTCTGACCTCATATCCCATTATAGCTGACTTTGGAAGCACTGGGTTAGGAGGTCATGAGAAAGATCAACAAACCAAAACATAAGAGAACCCAAGAAAAACTCCCAAAATCAAAAAAAGAAAAAAGACATAACATCTTTAATAAAAAACTTAGTGAGAGCTATCAGTCAATTCATAGCTCAAAGACTCAACCTGGTGGATGATAGTTTAATATCTAGTAATCTACAATTACTTAGGGATCTTGCTTCATCTTCAAATAATATTATCAAAGTTACTTTCTGCCAGAAATCATGCTAATTACTTCACAGATGTTGTGTTTTTTAATGCAACAAGACTGTAGAAACTACAAATATTATCCTCATCTTACAGGAATGAAAAGCTTAGAGAGTTTAAACAACTTGCCTAAGGCTGCATCACTAACAAACAACTGAGCCAAGATTTAGACTTAGATCTAACTCCAATGACATTTCCATTCATTATCTAATCAGAGGCTTGATAGAATCCCTGACTGGGCATCTTTCCTGTCTCCCTGCTGTTAGGTAGCATATGGGCCTTCCTGCTGGTTAAGCACTGGGTCATCTCTTCATCTGAGGTCAGTTTGCAGTATAATCCTTTCTTCTTTCAGGCCCTAGGGATTTGATCTGCTTACTTTTCTTTTTTTCCCAGCTGTCACTACTGATTCACCCTCTTGTGATTCATCTTGTACTAGAATTCTGGAATAGAATAAAGGTTACTTTTTTTTCCTCTCTGTTACTTCTGATTTTTTCAAAAAGATTCAAATTTCTCATGAGAATCCCACTAGCAAGTTCAAGTTGTAATGTAATGATATTAACAACTGCTTCTGTGATTCACTTGCAAAAGGTTACTTTTGCTAATGCTGCTAAATTTACTATTCATAATTATTTTTGCATATGGTCTTAGACACTAAAAAGGCAGTAAGTAGAATTTTAGTTTGACTCAATTGCAATTTCTTAACCTTTGCTGTTTCTGCAGGCTTACAACTGCCCTGATTTATCTTGCTGTAGCTTACACTTGAAAGATAATAAAAAGTATTATTGAAGATTATATTATGAAAACTTACATTTTAAGAAATAAACTAAATTTGAGAGACCTGAATATGTGGAATTTCAGAAAAAGCACTCCTATTAGCCAACTTTGCCTTTTTTGAGACTAATATTTATTGAGTACTTAATGTTCTAAATGCTTCTTATATAAAAGTCATGATGTTGATTATCTACAGTTTCCTCATGGAGAAATTGAAGCACAGAAGCTTTTCAAGAATACTAGTAAGAGATGAGCCTATATCTAAATCCAGGTCTGTATAAACAAATGCATAGATTCTCAAAAATGTAGTATATAAATACAAATCTTGAATATTATGTAAAGAACAGATTTCATTTTTTTTATTTCTTATCCTCCAATTCCTTTGAGTCTTAAATGGCTTTCATACTTGCAGCATCACTTGATGCTTTTGAAAAGTGGATCTCATTTTACTTTAAAAAATTCTACAGTTAAATAATAGATGAAATGCTTTGTAAATGTGAATTTTTAAAATTTAGCCATTGTGAGTCTAGTTGGTTAGCTAATTCTTTTGAGATCCTCAGTTTAAATTAATACAATCTCTGAATATAAGCCATTTTAAAAAAATGTTCACTTGCCATTTGCCATTTGGATTCCTTGATAAATACAAATAGATTACACATATATGATAAAACTTCAGATATATCATCAATTTTACAGTCCTCTCTTATAAACTTTACCAGCTGAAACCTTCTTACTGCTGTTGAGTGTTTTTTGTATGCATTTAATCCAAGAATACTGAAAGAATTAATAATTTTTGTAGATTTGTTTTTTTCTGTTGTCTCTTTTTGAAGTAAAGAGCAAAAATTCCCCTCTCCAACCCCAAATCAAAACTTCTGAACTCAATACTTGTGTTTAATAGACAGCTCTATATAAAAATGTTTAGTAAACTATGCATAGCTATTTTGACAGAATGGTTCTATAATTTCAGGAAAAAGTTTTTTTAATCAGAGATTAAAGTGAAGATTATTGGCCAACAATAGTATATTCATTTTACAGTAAAAATATATATTGCATAAATGGGTCCCAATTGTTTGGTCTTTAAGTCATGTCCCATTCTTTGTCACTCCACGGACTGTAGCCCGCCAGGCTCCTCTGTCTATGGGATTTTCCAGGCAAGTATATTGGAGTAGGTTGTCATTTCCTTCTCCATGGGATTGTCTCAACCCAATCCATGTCGCCTGCATTGGCAGGCAGATTCTTTACTACTAAGGCATGAGGGAAGCCCCAAATGGCTCTCTACTCACAGTCATAAATTTCCTTGAAAACATGCTATGAGCTCATGACATAGATGACATTGGTCTGACAGGCTTATCTTTTATCCTGTTAGATTCTTAAAGAATTAAAAAAAAAAAACTTTAAAAAATTGAACAGAAAATATAACGAGTGAATGGGAAACATTTTGAAAGTTATTAATAACAGCTAAAAATCAGTGATGTTACTCAACTGAAAGACCATTTTTGGAGGAAAAGATTATCTTATCAATATTTGTTCTCACATAATATATTTCCCCTTTATCTCTACAGTGAGTTCAAGTTCAAAAAATTGACTCTCAGAGGGAGGAAACCAATAGAACTTTGTAGCATTTTTAAAAGATTCAAAGTGATAATATAGATTATCTTTGTAGAAATGCCTACATATTGTCAAATATCCAGAGCTGTGCTGGCCACATTTAAAGTTCATAATTGCAGAAGGAAATTTCTGCCACCATTGCAGAAAGTTCTGCTGGATAACACTGCTGCAGAAGGTCATAAATAGTAGTAACATTTTAATTTTTAGACAGCTTATTAATATATTGATACATCCAGATATTTAGTAACATACAAAAGTAATTAAGAGTTATTTCTCCTAATATAGAGAAGACTAAATTTAGAGATGACAAAAACTTAAGTAGTGATTTATCAAAATTTTAATAAAATTCATTAATATGCTAGGCACTAGTTAGGCAAAGGTGAAAAAAAGTGAGATTTTTTTTTTAAACCTTAAATGATTGTAGTCTTGTGGATAAGCTGGACAAGTACGCAATCACTATACAATGTAAGTTTTGCTATAATCATACAAAGGAGATATTAGCTCTGTCTGGAGGAATTGAGAAAGACCTCAAAAGGTGATAGTTGAGCTATTACATCAAAAAGCTATTTTTAAAGGATGTACAAAATATGAAATAAAAGGCTTAATCTCTTTTGATGTCTGCATAAGTAAATTTGGGAATGACTCTGAGGCAACCCAACACTCTATAACCACCCCCTTGGAAATCTATGCCCACTGAACACTACTCTAGAGCCATAAACTGGATTTTAGGGATGTAACTTGGCTGTGTTGTTGTTGTTTAGTTGCTAAGTTATGTCCAGCTCTTTGCCATGCCATGGACTGTAGCCCGCCATGATCCAGTATCCACAGTATTTCCCAGGCAAAAATACTGGCTGCTGCTGTTGGTAAGTCGCATCAGTTGTGTCTGACTCTGTGCGACCCCATAGACAGCAGCCCACCAGGCTCCTCCACCCCTGGGATTCTCCAGGCAAGAATACTGGAGTGGGTTGCCATTTCCTTCTCCAGTGCATGAAAGTGAAAAGTGAAAGTGAAGTATCTCAGTCATGTCTGACTCTTCGCGACCCATGAACTGCAGCCTACCAGGCTCCTCCATCCATGGGATTTCCCAGGCAAGAGTACTGGAGTGGGTTGCCATTGCCTTCTCCAGTGGATCTTTCCAGCACAGGAATCTAACCCACATGTGCTACATTGCAGCAGGATTCTTTACCACTGTGCTGCCAAGGAAGCGCAACTTGGCCTAGTGTATAGTTTTTTGAAGGAAATGCTAAGCTAACAACTAGCACTACTGTAACTCACAGGATGATGGACATGAAGTGATTAAATAGTAAAGCCTACACAGTTCCAAGCTCCTGCCGCCAGGCCGTGATGAATGGTATAACACATACAGAGAAGGTCCAAGGCTGCAGAGTGGGTGGCTCCGTTCTCAGTGTGACTCTTCTAGGCTTTTAAGTGACCCTACCAACAGTACTGCTTGAGGGAATGTGGATAACACCCCAGAGGATGTGGACCAGGAGAATAAGAGAGTGGTGGGCTAAGGCTGAGAGCACCAAGCATCACTGTCTCTGATGACCTTCCAGCATGGACACTGCAGGACTGGAGCAGCAGGGGACATGGAATCCTGGAGTGGACTGAGGGATCCGGACAGAATCAGAGCAGAGACTATCCTCAAGCTATGCTGGTTAAGCACAGTCATCAGTTCCTTCAGTGAGAAAGATTGGGAGTTAATTAGCCACCACAGTATATTTATGTAAATATATGTATGTCTTTGTATCAGTCAAGGTTCAGTCAAAGAAGCAGAACCATTAGGAAATACATCTGTGACAATCAGTCATTTGTGATAGGGATTGGATTTTATGTAATTGTGGGAGCTGGTAAAACAGTCTCTGTAAAAGCTAGCATTCTTGTTGCTGGAGTTTCAAGTCCATGGGGCAGGTCGTCGGGAGGAGAAGATGGATGGTAGTGGGGGAGCGAGAGAACAAGCTGGACCCATGAGCAAGAGCTGGAGGAGAGACTGAAACCTGTGTTCCATGTCTGACGTTGAGGGGATGGGAGTCTTGCAGAAGCTAGGAGCCTTCATTGTGCAGCTATGATAAAAACACTCCAGGCCTAGGAGCTGGAAGTAATGAAGAGGGTCCTGGGAAAGATGGAGCAGCTGCTTTCCACCAACGAGGTAAGAAGGCAGATAAATAACAATGTGTGTGAGTTATAAAAATGGCTGTCGCTTCACCTCCATCCTTCAAATCTCACACAAGAATTTCCTGAGGGCTGAACCAGAGACATAGAGGAAAGAATTCTAGGAGACAAAGTTCAGCCCAGCTGAGCTGGCACATTGCAAAAGCAGCAGTCTTCTTAGGAAATGGTGTTTTGGTCATAGGCAACCACATTTGGTTAACTTCATGGAACCATGTGTTAAAACTACCAAAAACTGTCTTAGGTATTTATAGAGAGATACTAAATGGAACAGATTCTAACTATTCTACTTGAGTCTAGTGTTTCAAGTGGGCAAAAACAGATCAAGTATCACTTCATCTTGGTGAGGAAAGGCCTTTGTAATGTTAACCTTCATAGCTACACAGACTTGGCTACCTCCTTCTTGAGGGTTAAAATGACAAATTATATGTAGACTTCTTCATAAGTATGCAAAAACTAACTAAACAGAAGAAACTGACTAGATAAAATGCTTAGGTATTGACTGACCGTACCCTTGGGAATCTTCCCTGTACATGCAGATGAGTATGAACCACATAAATGTATCTCAATAAACCCAATCTAAATGTACCCCTTGCTCAGCTTCTGCTTAACAGGATCTCAAAATGCCTAGGCACTCTAAAAGCAATGAACATGAGTGGAAGTGCAAATTCAAAGAGACAGTGGTCTTAACTGATTGTGGTTTACATTTCTCATTTTATAAATTTCATAAAACTATAGAAACATGTAAAATCACTGCCAAGTCTCCTCGGAACCATGAAAGCACGGACAGGCATCCTTCTGTGTCTGAGGGGCCAAATTACAGAACCCCTGACAGATGCCCAAATCCACAGACACTCAAGTTCCTTATATAAAATAGTGTAGCATTTGCATGGAACCTGCACACATCCTCCTGTATACTTTAAATCATCTCTAGATATAATACCTAATGAAATATAAATACCATGTAAATACTTGTAAATAGAATGCAAATACTATATAATTAGTTGGCAGAGTATGGCAAATTCAAGTTGCGCTTTTTGGAACTTTCTGAAAAGATTTTTCTCCTGAATATTTTCAATCTGCTCTGAGTTCAATCTACAGATGCAGACCTTGCAGATACAGAGGAGAGTGGCTGTACACAGAAGCTTAAGCCGCTTTAGGTGTGTGGTCAATCTGCCCCTGGATCATGCTTTAATATAATTAACTGTGAAGTCTCTTAGATCATCACACACTGCTTAGTACAATTCTTAGCACTTGTCTGTCTCTTATTAAAAGTTTGTTGAAGGCAAAATAAAGAGGAGAGAGAAAGTAAAAGGAAGAGGGAAGAGGGAGAGAGGAGCAAAGAAACAAGGAAAAGTAAGGAGGGAAGAAAAAAGGAAAGAAGGAAGATAGCAGAGAACAAGAAAGGGAGGAAAGGAGAGAAATGTACAAGGTCATTGAATCAATTAAAGACAAGTCTTCGATCAGAATCCAGGTAGTCAGTTTCTTAAGAAATCAAATAAAACCTAGCATCTATTTTGTAGACCTATAGGTAAAGAATCCACCTGTAATTCAGGAGAAGCAGGAGGCGCAGTTTCGATTCCTGGGTCGGGAAGATCCCCTGGAGGAGGAAATGGCATTCAACTCTAGTATTCCTGCCTGAAAAATCTCATGGACAGAGGAGCCTGGCAGGCTACAGTCCAAAGGGTCACAAAGCATCAGACACAGCTGAGTATGCACACATGCATGCATAAAAGTTTAGAAGTATCCTATATCATTTTTTTTTTTATTATGGTGTGGTGTGGTAATATTTTTTTTATGAGATAATGCTTTTTTGTTTTTTAATACTTTCTTCTTCGAAGACTTCTTTTGTCTTGTTGTTTGTTCTTGATGATTTTTTTTTTTGGGTTTTTTTGTTTTCTATTTTTTTCTTTTTTTGTGATCTTATCTTTATTATGTTTCGGGTCTGGTTTGTTTGGTTTGTGTTTTTTGTATCTGGCCTGTGGCTTGGCTTGAAGTGGTGTGTTCTGTTAGGTTAGGATAACATTATTTTTTTTTTCATTTTTTTTTTTAGTTTAGTTTTTCCTTTCCTTCCAGTTCCAATCCGCGCAGCATACTATCATTGGCTTGTGCTGTGCCTTTTCTTTTCACATTACATTTTATGTTTTTCTTATCTCTATTTTCTTTATTTTCTTTTTTTATTTGAGGTTATTTTTTTTATTGGCCTGTCGATTTGCTTTATTTATTAATGAAGAAGTATACATGCTGGTTTATGGTATATTTGTAATTTTAAATCTTTTGGTAACTATGATCTTCCTGACCCGGGGATTAAACCCAGGTCTCCGGCATTGCTGGCAGATTCTTTACTGTCTGAACCACAAGGGAAGCCCCATTAATGAAGAAGCATACATGCTAATTTATTACACATTTTTCATTTTAATCTTTTGGTAACTATATTTAGAGTTTCTAACTCTGTTATTTTATTTCATAATTTAAAAACTTTATTTTAAAAAGAGGTCCATAGGCTCCTGAAGAGTCCCATGAGCACAAAAAGGATTAAGAAACCCCTCCTTTTAAAAGGACAATATGTCTCCATTGCAGTGTTTGTTTGTTTTTTTCCGGTTGGTATTCTAGAGATGAGAATGGAAAGTAATGATGCTTATAGGCACAGTCCACAAGATGGCAGCACATCACAGTTCAATTTCCCCAAATCAAATTCCCTCACTCGCAGCCACAACTGGACACTAAGTTAAACTAGAAGATAATTAGAATGTATTAATAATACATTAAAAAGAGCTTTTGATACTTTTCAGCCGTATAATGTATACTCATATACTCTTTTCTGTGAGATATATAGCACACAGAAAAAAGTTTCTCAGTTTGAGAAACAGTAAGAAATGAAGTTAAATTATTCTCAGAATTTTGTCTAAATATGTTTCCTAACAAAAAAAAACAACCCAAGCTCAAAGAACCAAAATACACACTACCCTTATGAAGGAAAACCTTTTTCTTATAGGCACCATGGTCTCATTTATAAAAATATGGTCTATGTGCTCAAAAGGTAATTGGTGAATTACACAAAACTTTTTCCACCAACACACACGATGTATAATCACATACCCTCTCTAATGTAAACTTTTGAATTTTTAAAGTGAAAATAAGGAGCAGAGAGGTAGAATAGTAAAACGGTCTTTGGTGGAATAGGTGGCAAAATGGCTATAATGCCTCATTCTTCCCATGACATTCTTCCCGTTCTCTTTCCTTCTGTTGTCTGTTCCCAGGACTGGAGATGGGCTTACTGCTGCACCGCAGGGAAGAACATGTCTGGGGAAGTCTGCTGGGAGGATGTGAGAGACATGGAAAATGAGACCTGGAGAGATGAGTTGCTTCAGCCAGATGAAGCCCAGAAAGACACCCCAGCGAAGAGGCAATCTACTCCCAGGCAGACAAGAGAGGCCAGCTGAGGCGAGGAGAATCACACGGGCTAAGTCTCTGAGCTGTACCTGACTCCAGTTGTATGGACAAGACGCACTTATTATTTGTAGCCACTGGGTTTTGGGGTAGTGTTTTAGGCAGCATTGTTTGCAAAGTAGGTAAGTGTTGCAAACTATTCTTCATTACTAACTGACACAAGCTCATGACCAACCCAGAGGACATCTTTTAACAAAAGGTAGAAACTGTCAAATACCTAGCATTCTGTTGCATCAGACATTTTGACCTGTGTGACTTTTACCAAGAGTTTCTAGCCATTTAGTAAATTAGTTTTGAGTTTAGGTATAGGAAGTGGGGGTAAACGAAGAAATTGAGTGTGGACTTGGGGAGGAACAGTTATAAATGAATGTTTGTGTGCCCCTCAAATCCATATGTTGACACTCTAACCCCTGTGTGTCTGTCTGGGAGATAAGGCCTCTCAGGAACCGATTAAGGTTAAATGAGGTCATAAGGGTGGTGCTCTCATAGGACTGTCTTTATAAGGAGAAATAGCAGGGGTCAATCACTTTCTCTCTTGACCCAGTGTGCACACGAAGAAGAGGTCACGGGAGAACGCACAAGACCAGCTGCTGATGAGACACGAAAAAACGCTTCAGAATGAAACCTACCCTGCTGACACCATGATCTTAGACTTCTAGCTTCCAGAACTGTGAGAAGTAAACGTCTGTTGTTTAAGCCACCAAGTTTGCGGTATTTTGTTATGGTGGCTGAGCTAACTAACAGAGTGGGAAGGTAAAATAGAGGGAAAATAATGATAAATAATAATTATTGTTTCCCACCATAAGGACTTAACATATAGACTTTATTTAGTCTCCCACAACAGCCCAGTGGGGTGGATACTAGCATCCTCATTTTATTCACAGATCAGAAAAGTAATACAAAGAAAAGCTAAGTAACACGACCAGTTCTCACAGCTAATAAGCGGTCAAGCTGGAATTGGAATCAAGACGTCTGTCTCTAGAAGCTGTTCTCTTAATCATTATCATTCTTTATACTAAGGAGGCATAAGCCGTGGCAAGTGAAGGCAGGGAAGGAAAGAGGAAAGAGAAAGTGGTTTATAGGATGAGCTCAGTGCTAGAGGTCAGAAACTCTTGTCTCCTAGGCTTTTCCTGACTGAGAGTTTACCCCTGAGAGATACAGCTCAAGGCTGGGTGTCCATGGAGGCCCAGCCCAGTGTGAGACCTCGTTTATGAAGATCCACACAGGACTTTTAATTATGTTCTCCATTCTCTTCTTCCGCTGTTTTCATAGACTCAATTGCTAAATTTTGTTAGGACTCCTTGGCCCCCAACCCCAAAAGCTGCCCTTGGGTTGAAACAGGATCATGTCAAATCCTGCTAGACTTGATGGTAAATGCTGTGTGGTCTGGTACACGACACAGTGCCACATACAGCATGCTGTTTTGTTGAAGGTATGAATAGGCAAGTTTACTGTAATAAAACAAAATTCTATGCACACATGTAGGCATGAATAGGAAGGTCTTTAAATGCATTTATCTAGCATTGCTCCATGTTGAATACATATAGAATGAATTTACAAATCACTCACATTAATTCTACCTAAAAGTTAGAAGATTAACTTGTTGATGATTAGGTCTCCCATATTTAATTGGTTACATAGAGCATGTAAAATATATATGTATATATAAAAACAATTTCCCAGGCTTCCTCTTGGCCAGACAAAGAGTTGTTCCTGTCTTCATGTAAGCAAGAAGGTATAAAATTCTGTAGCACTCTGACAGAGCAGCTGGAGAAGCTAGGCTCACTGAGAAAATGAGTCCCCATCCCCCCAGTGCCCCTCAGTCCCAGAGCATACGGAAGGGAAGCAAGTCAATTCCCAAACTCACTGTGATGTGTGAGGAGGTTCTGAGAATTGAGAGCCACTGTGCCTGCTTGAGGGTCTCTATTCTGGGGAGAGAGTGGATGCTGTTTGTGAGACTGCAGGGTGACTTGATAATATGGTGAAGTGTCAGTGGATCAGCAGCACAAATATAAGTCAAGGGCAAGAGCAAGGTGGGGACAGCATGCAAAGTGGAAAGACCATGAACTGCTGTGGAAGAGAACAGATGCTTCCATTTACACTGGCCTCAGAAGCTTCAGCAGCCAGTGAAATGAGAACAGAGAACATCCCAAGGTGAGGCTGGGCAACTGCAGCTTAGAGAAGATGAGTAAGGACAAGAGGCCAATGCTCAGATCAGATGGGTCTCCTCAGCCCCATTTCAAGACATTAAGTAAGCTTCTTCCTCTTATTTGGGAGAATGAGGGAAAGGGTCCAGCCCCTCTTCTTGGGAGAATGAGAGAAAGGGAAAGCATGTAAGAGGACTGCTGTCCAGAAATGAAGTTTGGAGTTTAAATAGAACAACTGAATTCCCAAGAGAGCAGAACTTATGCTTAGACATTGTTTTTAATTAGCTACTGTCAATAAGCCTCATTTCTTGCATCCCTTCCACACATCCAAACCACGTGAAATAAGGAATATGTGAGCAAAGAGAACTCAGCTATTGAGATTTCTGCCTTCGTGAGTTGTGGCTATAAAAATAAAGCTGTTATACGTCCAAAATACATAGCAAGAATTGAGTCTGCTACATGTTATCAGTTCTGATATCCACCTTACACAATATCAATAGAGATTCTGATTATAGGAAAAGGAGTGTGAGCATAGGTGTCTGCACATCTAATTTGCCATTTTGGAAAGGTACTTATGCACTTATATTATAGACATGAAAAAGTATTTTCTAAAATGCAGTAAAAAGTGAAAGTGTGAATTGTTCAGTCACGTCTGACTCTTTGTGACCCCATGGACTGCCCACCAGGCTTCTCTGTCCATGTAGCTCCTCTGGCCAGGCTCCAGGCAACAATACTGGAGTGGGTGGCCATTTCTTTCCCCAGGGGATCTTCCCGACCCAGGAATTGAACTCGGGTCTTCAGCATTGCAAGCAGATTCTTTACCATATGAGCCACGAGGGAATCCCAAAATGCAGTGAGGTGAGGTGAAAGTTGCTCAGTCATGTCTGACTCTTTGCGACCCTATGGACTATACAGTCCATGAAATTCTCTAGGCCAGAATATTGTAGTGGGTAGCCTTTCCCTTCTCCAGAGGATCTTCCCAACCCAGGGATTGAACCCAGGTCTCCCACATTGCAGGCAGATTCTTTACCAGCTGAGCCACAAGGGAAGCCCAAAATGCAGTGGGAAATATTAAATATTTAATACAACTGTACTAGGTATCCATTGCTACATAACAAAGCACTCAAAACTAAGTGGGTTAAGACAACATTCCCTATCTCATAGTTTCTGTGGGTCCAGAATTCAGTGAGGGCACAGCTGGTATGTCTGGTCTCTGCTCAGCAATGTCTGAGGCCTCAGATCAAAGACTTAAAGGCAGAAGGGCTGGAATCTTTGAAAGCTGGAGGATATACTTCAAATTGGCTCTCACATGGTGGCAAGGTGGTATGGGAGAGCTGGTTCCTCCACGGGCTACATGAGTATCCTCATGACATAGCATCTATCTTTCCCCAGAGTTGACTCTCCATAGGTTTAAAGAAGTTGCACTAGTTTTTAGACGCTTTTCTTCGGAAGTCTCACACCATCACTTCTGCAGTAGTCTACTGGTCACACAAAGCAACCTGATTGTGTGTGGCAGGCAACTACATAGGATATTGTATTAGTTATCTGTTGCAGTACTAAAAATTACCCTGAAAATTGGGAGTTTAAAGCAGTCAGCATTCATTATTTGCAGTTTCTACAGATCAGGAACATAGGAGTGGTTGAACTGGGTGGTTCTGACTCAGTCTCTCATGAAGCTGTCTGCTGGGGCTGCGGTCATCTGAGGTTCAGCTGAAGCATCTGCTTCTGAGCTCTCTTGTTTGTGGGTAAGTTTCAGTTCCTCGCATGTGGGCCTCTCCTGAGGCTACCTAGGTGTCCTTATGGCACTGTACTGGTCTCCCCCAGAGTGAGCCATGCAAAAGACAGACAGATGGAACCCAAGATAGAAGCCACAGTCTTTTATGATCTAATCTTGGAAGTGACATACTGTATTAGTTTCCTATTGTGGCTGTGACAAATTAGCACAAACTCAGTTGCTTAAACAACACAAAAATTTATGATGTTACAGTTCTGGAGACCAGAAGCCCAAAATGGGTTTCTTTGAGCGAAAATCAAGGTGTTGATAAGGTCTGTGTTCCTTTCAGAGGAGAATCCACTTCTTGGCCTTGACTTGTTTCAGCTTCTAGAGGTCATCTGCATTCCTTAGCTCATAGCCCTTTCTCTGTCTTCAAAGTCCTCAGCATAGCATCCTCAAATCTCTGACTGCCTCTTTTATCTTGTAAGAAACTTTTTCGTTACATTGGACCTGCTCAGATAATCCAGGATAATCTCATCTCAAATTTCTTTGAATTAATCACCTCTGCAAAGTCCCTTTTTCCATGTAAGGAATTTATTCAATATGGTCATAGGTTTGGGATGTGGGCATTAAGGTGTAGATGTATTTCAGGAGCCAGCAGTCCACCTACCATGCATACCATCCCTTTTGCTATATTATAGTGGCCACACAGACTAACCCTGGTACAATGCAGGAGAGATTACTTATGCATGTGAATATCAGCAGGTTGGGATCACTGGGGACCATTCCGGAGGCTGGCCACCATAACATTTTTAGATGGCTCTTACCTAACTTTGAAAAGTATGAATTATTGCTTCAAAATACAATCCTGAAAGAAAAATCCTATACAACTATTAACATTTTGTTCCTACTAGACTGAGAAAGAATAATAATAATGATAAAATCACAATAGCTACCATTATTTGCTGAGTGCCTAATATGTGTGGGCACAAAAATAAGTATTTAACATTTCTAAATTATGTAGCATCTTGAAATATGAGATCAATTATCATCCATAATGACACATATTAAGAAACAGGTTCAGAAAAGCTTTGAGTAAGTTCACACAGAGTAACAGGCAGAGAGACAATCTAAATTGAGTTTTGTCAGGTATTAGGATATGTGGGCAGAGGAACCAGAGATCAAATTGCCAAAATCCACTGGATCATTGAAAAAGCAAGAGAGTTCCAGAAAAACATTTATTTCTGCTTTATTGACTATGCCAAAGCCCTTGACTGTGTGGATCACAATAAACTGGGGAAAATTCTGAAAGTGATGGGAATACCAGACCACCTGACCTGCCTCTTGAGAAACCTGTCTGCAGGTCAGGAAGCAATAGTTAGAACTGGACATGGAACAACAGACTGGTACCAAATAGGAAAAGGAGTACGTCAAGGCTGTATATTGTCACCCTGCTTATTTAACTTATATGCAGAGTACATCATGAGAAACGCTGGGCTGGAAGAAGCACAAGCTGGAATCAAGATTGCTGGGAGAAATATCAATAACCTCAGATATGCAGATGACACCACCCTTATGGCAGAAAGTGAAGAAGAACTAAAGAGCCTCTTGATGAAAGTGAAAGAGGAGAGTGAAAAAGTTGGCTTAAAGCTCAACATTCAGAAAACTAAGATCATGGCATCCAGTCCTGTCACTTTATGTCAAATAGATGAGAAAACAGTGGCTGACTTTATTTTGGGGGCTCCAAAATCACTGCTGATGGTGATTGCAGCCATGTAATTAAAAGACGCTACTCCTTGCAAGGAAAGTTATGACCAACCTAGACGGCATATTAAAAAGCAGAGACATTACTTTGTCAACAAAGGTCTGTCTAGTCAAAGCTATGGTTTTTCCAGTGGTCATGTATGGATGTGAGAGTTGGACTATAAAGAAAGCTGAGCACCGAAGAATTGATGCTTTTGAACTGTGGTGTTGGAGAAGATTCTTGAGAGTCCCTTGGGCTGCAAGGAGATCCAACCAGTCCATTCTAAAGGAGATCAGTCCTGGGTGTTCATTTGAAGGACTGATGTTGAAGCTGAAACTTCAATACTTGGCTACCTGATGCAAAGAGCTGACTCATTCGAAAAGACCCTGATGCTGGGAAAGATTAAGGGCAGGAGGAGAAGGGGATGACAGAGGATGAGATGGTTGGATGGCAACACCGACTCAATGAACATGAGTTTGGGCAAACTCTGGGAGTTGGTGATGGACATGGAGGCCTGGCGTGCTTTGGATCATGGGTTGCAAAGAGTCGGACACGACTGAGTGACTGAATTGAACTGAGGATATGTGGATTCCAGTCCTTCTTTGCCACTAACTACCTGTGATAGGCGACTGCAATAACAAAGTTTTCCTTGTTGATGTTAGTTGGACTACAGATTTCTTACATGTATGATCCTGAAAGAGTAAGAATAACAGGTATTCATGTAATTTATTATCAATCCATAGGTGGCACTTTTGTGTTACTCAACATATGTATAGAAGCTCAATTTTGAAACTCTGGCCAAAAACAGTTATATTAGAGAGTTAAGTCCCCAGGCACATTAACAGCATACCATTGTTCTTGGCTGTGCCAAAGTGAAAGGGCAGACAGAGAACATCATGTGAAGATTTTCCACACGGATTCTAATCTACTCATATATGCCACCCCCTGAGACAACTTAAAAAAAAAAAGACCCTTTACACTGCATAACCTCAGGTTGCAAAAAATCCATATTGTAACACACTAAAGTTATATTCAAGAACAAAACAGAGGAATTTTTCTGATACCTCCCCCCATTTCCTTTCTCCCTATTTATGTACAGAGTCTTTTCAATAACAAATATCCACCTGATTTTCCTTAATTGGCTTATCTGAATAGCTCATTTAGGAGAATAATTCTAGAGAGTTATTAAATTTTACATGGTCCTATTACATCCCCACACATTATCCCATCACTAAAGCAGTACCAGGAGATGTAGTTGGGAGTATCCTGGAAGGATTACTATAGAGGAAGTATGCTCAGAGTTAATATTTCAACTTGGACATAACACATGGAAGTGATCTGCATTATAGTGGGAGGAATTGATGCCACACATAAAGGGCATTTTATGCAATGCATGATTTAACATTGTGTTCCTGTGTTACTAGAAGAGGGAGTTCCCAGTCCAATGCATTTTAAAGAATATCTCACAGGTATTCCTTTCTCTTTAAACCCTTGAATTTTGCTGATCCACTTGACAGATAACTGCTTTAAAGCATCTATATTCACTTTTGTCTAGATTTTTCTTATTGATTCATCACATCACTTTCAGGCACATACTGTTTGCTTTGTACCTTATTTATACATGAAGTAAAGAAATATAGATTGAAGATCTACTGCATATGAAAGCCTCCATTAGCCACTGGTGCATGGACAGGGCTTCAAAGATTAACTTAGCCCAACTGCCTTCTCCTATGGGTTCATGACAAGGATGACTCATTCATGACAAGAGTGCCATCTTTGCCTTTACCCTTTGTGCCAGTGGCAACAGTTCAGTTCAATTCAGTTCAGTCGCTCAGTCATGTCTGACTCTTTGCAACCCCATGAACCGCAGCATGAACCCACGCCCTCAATCTTTCCCAGCATCAGGGTCTTTTCAAATGAATCAGCTCTTTGCATCAGGTGACCAAAGTATTGGAGTTTCATCTTCAATATCCCTCCTCAGTTCAGTTCAGTTCAGTCGCTCAGTCGTGTCTGACTCTTTGCAACCCCATGAATTGCAGCACGCCAGGCCTCCCTGTCCATCACCAACTNTCTAGTTATAGAATGAAGTGAAGTGAAGTTGCTCAGTCATGTCCGGGTCTTTGCGACCCCATGGATTGTAGCCCACCAGGCTCCTCCCTCGGTCCATGGGATTTTCCAGGCAAGAATACTGGAGTGGGTTGCCATTTCCTTCTCCAGGGGGATCTTCCTGATCCAGAGATCGAGCCTGGGTCTCCCGCATTGTAGGCAGACGCTTGTATCATCTGAGCCACCAGGGAAGTCTAGTTATAGAATGGAAGAAACTCAAATTAGGTTGGAAAAACAAATATGGACATACCACAAGTACCTTTGCCCAATTATTGAAGAAGCAAAGTTTCAGCATTAATATTTTTTCAGTTCTGTCCTTGACGCAGAAATGAGTATCCAAGATCTAACACAGCTTCACTGGTTTCTTTCCATCTCAAATTTACAACACAAATTATTCCAGCTCTAAAATTTCTAGATTTACAAAAAATCTAGTCCATGGTTAAAAAGAAGCACAATTTAAACCTCTCATATACTAAAATCTTAAGAGAGAGAGGATAATTTAATGGGGAAAATGTAAGGATACTGAAATCAGGTAAATTTTTTTTTAACTCTTTCATAACTCTAGGACCTTAGACAGATCATTTAATATGTTTGGAAAAAAAAAGAGTAAATAATACCTAACTTTTCTTCCTACCTATGAAGACCCTTTTTTTGGTTTCTTCTTTACTTGTAACTGGGGAAGGAGGATGTCTGAGTTGATCCCTAAGGAAACAGAATGTCTTTCATTTGAAATTTCACAAAGATCTAGGATTATAACTGTCTTCGTACCTTCAGGCCTGAGCCTTTCTGTCTTGCCACATTTATTTTCATATTTGTGTATAATATAGCTGAGGAGAACTCAAAAGAAATAACCCCAGCAACAGAAAAATTGCTTCCTATTATAACAGACAGATATAGCAAAAAAACAACGATAGAAAAATCAGCTTTTGTTACTTTTAAAGGCCTAATGACAAATTTTGGAATGATGTATTAACACAAAATACATACTTTCTATCTCCTCTGGAGGCTTTGTCTTGTCAAGAAATTTGTCCAGTAGGAAATCTTGGTATAGCAAGTCCACTTTCAAACAGATCGTTTCAAAGTGCTCTTTTGTTCTGGAAACTGGCAATTATTCTGTTGCTGTGTGCTTGAGACTTGGATGGGAATGATTTTTTCCCACAACTATCAAGCCCTGTATGAATGAACAGAGCCTTTCATTTACTGGAAATAGACAATAAGAGCAGAAATCTCGATTGCACATATTTCAATGTTGTCACATAAAACAGTGTTTCTTTTTATCAGCAAGTGGTTTATAAATATCAACATCACCCCAAAACAAACAGCCTAGTTTATAATGACATATTGAGTGGTATTTCAATTTGTAATATTCTGTGCCAAGCTTAAAGTCTTATACTCATATTTCAAGTAAAGTGCTTAATTAAAGCTTAAACAAGGTTCTCCAGAGACTTAATAGTAAAAGCATTGCATTAGAAAACCAGGTAATGAATTGTATAAATATTAATTATGGCCTCCTTATGTTAGATAATAAAAGTCTATGACATCTTGCCTGATATTATAGATCCTGCATTCTGAAAATCTTGTGTAATTACTGATCTAAAATTATATGTCATAAACCACATTTTGTATTTACTTATTTATTTGATCAGCATCAGATTAACCCTAGGTTTGATTTACAGTGCTGACACTTAGAAGCTATTAGACTGCTCTGAGACTGGGTTTCTTCAGCTATAAAATAGGAACAACATCACTTAGCTCATGGGGTTGATGCAAAGTTTAAGTGAGAAGATGTAGGGCTTTCCAGGTGGCACTAGTGATAAAGACCCTGCCTGCCAATGAAGAACACATAAGAGATGGAGGTTCGATCCCTGGGCTGGGAAGATCCCCTGGAGGAGGGCATGGTAACACACTCCACTATTCTTGCCTGGAGAATCCCAGTGACAGAGGAGCCTCGTGGGCTATAGTCCTTTAGGTCACAGAGAGTCAAACACAACTGAAGCAACTTAGCATGCACATGTGATAAAGACAGTGCTCAGTACAAGGTAGACGCTGATGACCTGCTTGCCCTCTCTCATCCCATCCCAGTGGTACACCCACACTCACTCTCACGAGACACACACAGAGGTGTTTCTTAGAAGTCGAGGGGGAAGAAAGCAAAGAAAAAAGTGGGTCTAACAGGGGCAAGTGCCTTTCCTTCAGCTTTGGCATTTTCTACACGCGCTAAATCAAGCTGGACAGAAACAGGAAATATTTTGTCAGTGGAAAAATCTTTAGTTCCCATGGCTCTTGATGCTGCTCTGGAATATCTACATAATACCAAGAAGAGACTGAACTTTCAACATGATTTTGTATAGTTCTCTAATCGGAGACTCACGTTCAACAAATTGGGAAATCTTGCCAGTTTGCATTTTAATTTTTCTCCTCTGAAAGGAAGTATTGCTGTGTGAAGAAAGGACACATTTAACGACTGAATTGCCTTTTTATAATCCTAAAATATTATTTAACTACATTCTACTTGAGGTAGAATCAAGTGTTAGGCAGTAAAAAAGCTTTGGAATCAGTTTTAAATTTGAATCTTATTCCCTCACATATTACTTGTGAGACTATTATGAACCAAAAATAGTCCATGAGCTTCAGTTTTTCACTTGTAAAATGGGCTACCCACCTCATGGTGTTGTGAGGATTAACTGGGATAATAAATGTAAAACGTTATTTCACTGACTTTGAATAGTAAGTGCTCAAGGAAGTGAGCTATTGTTATTGTAAATTATTCCATGTGTGTGTTAGTCACTCAGTCGTGTCTGACTCTGTGTGACCGCATGGACTGTAGCCTGCCAGGCTCCTCTTCCATGGAATTCTCCAGGCAAGAATACTGGAGTGGGTTGCCATTTCCTTCTCCATAAGTATTCCATACATTAGATTTAGTTGAAATTTTCAGTTGCTGGCTAGTCCTTGCCATTGTTTTAGCTGCAAACTAAAGCAAGAAAACCATTTGGTGAATGTCAATATATGTCATTTCTGAAGGGTGAAGAATTGCTTTTTGGATGGGGAATACATGTAATTTCATGGCTGATTCATGTCAATGTATGACAAAAACCACTACAATATTGTAAAGTAATTAGCCTCCAACTAATAAAAATAAATGAAAAAATAATAAAATAAAGAATGTAGGAGAAATTATCCAGCTTGTATATGAACGTGCTCAATAAGACCAACACAACATAAAGGTACTTATCACTACCTTATCTAAATAGATACATGTAGTTTCTGGACCATCCCAAGGTCAAGTTCAGAAAGTCAGCAGTAGGAGGCTGAGACTGCAAGCTCCATGTGAACATCAAGAATAAATCAAGTGCACTCACCTTTCTGAAAGCAGGGAGAGAAAGTACAAGAGGGCTTTGTTAATCAGACAGGAAAATCATAGCCTGAAAATGCTGACAATGACATTTCAAAAGTCTCACTTACTTAGTAATAGATAAGAATATGTGAAGAAGGAGAAAAAAAATTCCCTGAAGTTTTCAAAAGGAAAAAAGGATCAAATATCTGTTTTATGTGAGAACTTTATCATGCGAGGTTACTTCAGTTCACATTTCCTAAACGGGGACACCTCTCCAGCGGGAACAGGAGGCTCCTCTTGTGAGGCACTGTGCTGGTAACTGGTGACAATGACAAATGCCATCTGACTGATGGCCCCGCCTATCCCACTTTAGGCAGTCAGAGATGTACTGAAGACAGTGTCATCCAAATCCAAGTTCACTTATGAAATAACAAAGGGAAGAGAACCTCCATGCCCTCCAACTCCTTTTCCACTGGTGCTGTAAGGGGCCCAGAAGAGAAGCACCCTCTCTCTGAGACTGGCCACCTCTGGGAGACACTGAGGGGACCAGAGAGCTCCCCAGGTAGTCTCCAGGCACAGAAGCAGGTAGGACCACATTAGCCTTGAGCAGTGATGTGATGGCTTCCTAGGTGGCGCAGTGGTGAAGAACCCACCTGCCAATGCAGGAGATGCAAGAGATGCAGGTTCGAACCCTGGGACAGAATAATTCCCTGGAGGAGGAGATGGCAACCCACTCCAGTATTCTAGCCTGGAAAATTCCATGGACAGAGGAGCCTGGTGGGTTACAGTCCCTGGGGTCACAAAGAGTGGGACATGACTGAGTGACTGAGGACAAGCGATGTGGTGCCCTCTACCCTCACCCCACCTCCTTTCTCTTGAGCAACCCCTCCTTCATTTTCTCTCTTTTCTGTCCAGAAAACTTCTGGAGGTCTTAATAACTGAGCCCTTTGCCCTGAGGAAATCGGTCCTCTTTATCCACTGACCGCTTTTCCCAACCTCACCTTCCCACCCACCTCCAGTTATATGTCATTTTGACATCTGGGGGATTTAAATGGTGATAAAACACCTGGGTTCAGACTATAACTTCTTCAATCTAGAAATATAAACTCCATTGTTTCACTCATAATAAACCAAATCTCCACGAAGGGAGCACTGGTGTATATTCTTAAATCTTAAGAAAATCAGCTAAGTGGTCAGGCAGTTGACCTGGGAGGATTCTGTCTCTTTTTACAACAGCCATAGCGTTTCCATCATTGCTGTCTCTATCTCTGTTTACTGCTGAAGGATTTGAGAAATCTCCACGCTGAGAAAAGGAGCAGGCTGCTCCCCATATCCACTCTCTCCACCTAGGCAAGAACACCGGGTCAAGGTAAGGAAGAACATGGCAGAGGGCCCAGAAATGACTGGGAACAAGGAGGCGACAACCTCAGACTCACAAAGGATATAAGCAGGAAGGAGAGACTTCAGAGGTATTCAGGGAATTGGCACAGAAATGAACTTGGGTCACACAATGAATAGGAGGAAAAAAAGGTAATTGTCTCAGGTTAAAAGCTCTTGTCTTTCTTTTGTTACAGTAATAATCAAAAATAAAAGCTTGGAGGATTTATAGGCTTTAAAGAAGTACATCTTTTTTTTCCCTTCAATAAAACAGTATCTTTAAAGACAAACAGGACGACAAGTGAATTTTGTTTCAACCCAAAGGATACAGTAAAAATCAGGAAACACTGTAAACATAAATATTTTCATCCAGTCATTGAAAATGTTTCAGCAAGCATGAATAAGTGAGCTTTAAGCTATCGTAATACAGCCCCAAAGGACAATTTCAGCAAAGGAAGGTTTACTGAGCTCCACACAGATAACAAAAGTAATAGTTTGGAATGAGATATAGATGTTTCCACTTATAATCCAAATTGCTGTATGACTGGGGATATACTGCTATCAAAAAGTGCCATGGAGTTCTGGAAGAAAACTTAAGTCGGCAGTGGTTCTGGCTTTGTAGCTCTGTGACTTTGCAAGAGTTCTTGAATCTCAGGCCCTCATCAATAAAAGGAGGGGGCTGGGGCTTAGATGTTATCAAAGTCTTCCTGCTCTAGAATTACTTCATTGTCAAGATTTATACAGAAAGTATTGTAAAAGCACAATTAGCCTAAAATTTTGGCATTTTTCCTGTCGATATTTCCTCAAGGGATTCCTTGGCCCCTTTCTTAAAGATGACCAGCAGAACTTGTTAGTTGCACTGTGGACTTTGGCCACAGCCAGACCTGGGATAGGTCTCATTTCTGTCACTCCTTGGCAGTATGATGATCAACAAAGGACCATGATTCTCTGGGTTCACTTCCTCATCAGTTACATGTAGTCTTATCCCATAGGGTTGATAGGGGAATAAAAAGTCATTAATCACATAAAGAACTCAGCATAGCACCTGACACTCAGTGAGTACAGAAGTGATATATTATAAACCGTATAAATTATTATAAACTTTATAAACTGTATCAGCTCTTTCACACAAACATTTGTCTTCTATAGGCACTGGAATGTCATTTAGACACTTCATCCTCTAATGAGTCAGTGGAGCTCCTTAAGTCAGTGGTAACTGGCTCTAAACTCCTGGCTGGTGAATTTTATCCCTGATTAGTAGGCATTTTATGTGTGTTAGTCACTCAGTCGTGTCTGATTCTTTGCAACTCCATGGACTGTAGTCCACCAGGTTCCTCTGTCCATGAAATTCTCCAGGCAAGAATACTGGATTGTGTTGCCATTCTGTTCTCCAGGGGATCTTCCTGACCCAGGGATCAAACCTGGGTCTCCCACATTGCAGGCAGATTCTTTGCAGTCTG